TCCTGCTGCAAAAAGCTGAACTTTTCCCTTTACCCATGCTTATCAATATTTCTGTGACAGTGCTGGAGTATAGTTTTGTCTTGAGCCTTCTTCCCCATAAATCATGTTGTCTGTCTCAGGTAAATGACTGAAAGTTCTATCCTTTACTTGGGTATTTTTTATTAAATTCCTGTCCTTACAGATTTAACATGCAAGGCAAAATAGTCCCCCTAAAGATAGGAAAAAAGTCTGTGGTTGCCTGCCTGCCTCATTCACTTACTGTTTGGGTTGTACTACATAGCATGTCTAAAAACACATTTCATGAGGAAGTAACCTGAAACAGGTGGAGGATGGACAGATGAAAAGTAAGCCTATTTCTCTTTTTATGTGAAGAATCACATAACTTAGTGCTTGAAACTTGAAAGATCTTGTGAAGGAGAAATAAGTGTTCTCACTGCCTCAAGATGTGTTTGGACTGATAATCAAAACCTTCTGTTAAGTACAGTCTTTTTCAGTGGGAAAAATGTTAAGAAATAATTGTGTGTTATGTAGCTTCAGATGTAACAAGCCCACATGCTAAGCTTTGCCCATCAAAGAAAACAGCCTTGCATTAGAGGGTAGGTGCTAAAATAGGAGTAGAATTAGATATGTTGGTCTAAATTCAGAAGTGCTGTGTAAGATGGTCATAGATTCTTTAAACCCCTTCATGCTCCTGCTACCCACAGAATCTGGTTATTGCAGCCCATCTATGCTTTATTCCATTTCTACAGCCAAATGCCATGCTAACCGATACATCTTTTGAAAAGGATAGAGCAGGAAAAAAAAAAAAAAAAAAAAAAAAAAAGCAAAACAAAAAACTGGAGATGAAATTAATCCTTGGGGCCAAATTTCAAATTAATTTATATATTATTTATCAGTGGGGACCTTTATGAGAAGTAGTAGAGAAGTAGTAGTTCAACAGACTTTTTTTTTAAGCAAGAGAGTAAGCTTGGCTATTAAACTGCTATAAATGCAGTATTTCATGTTGTAGGTCAACAGTACTTTTGGAGAATTTTTATCATGAAAGTAGTAAAGCTAGGTACCCAAGTAAAAATACATGCGCTTTGTACTGCTCTGCCCAAGTTGATTTCAACCTCAGCTGCACTTGACTGTTCAAGGAAGCACAATCAAAATTGAAAAGACAAAATCAAGGTACTTCTGTTGTGAGATTATTTTCTTTTGAGTTTCCATCTGTATTGAGTCATCTTTTTCTAAGGGAGCGTGATCTTTGTACTTTTAGTTTGTCATCCTAATTTTTAAGGAAGCCAAAGTGCTCTCGGTGAAAAGGCTTTGACTCTTCTTTTTACTTTTGTCACTGTTAAGTGTTGAACACAAGAACATCTTTTTCTGCTTTTAAGAAGCTGATCAGACACAGACCAGAAGAAGAAACGCTGCCTCAAATAGGTGCTGTGGTTATTGACTAAGGAACAGTTAGCTTGTTCATCCTGACTATGCAATTTTTTAAAAGCCTGTATGAATCCTAGTGTAATCTGAGTAAGCTCTACTGCGATTTATGACCCCTTAATGCAGGGATTTAGATTTTTGCTTGTCTGCCATGGGGCACCAATTTAGTAAGGAGTTAGCAGGGGGACACAGCGTAACTTGAGCACTGAATAATTTTGATGCCACAGATACAGCTTAAGCCTTATAAACCTGAACATTCTGTATTTAAATATGGTAACCACTCCCTCTTACATTTGCTGTTTAACAAGAAAATAGGTAGGCCTCAAGTGTCTGGAACCCGCTCCCTACAAAAGATACGACAAAGAACATTTGCACGTGATTTTTTGTGGTATCTGCAATCTAGTACTAAGGTAAAACAAGCTGTGTTGATATGAGTGCAAAACACTAAAAACCCCAGTAAGTGGTCTTTGAAGTTTCTATCAAATCTCCACTGAGTTTATATTTTATATCTAGGACTCCCTTGTATTTCTTTTCTTTGTTTTTATTCAGGACTTTGCTATATGACACATTGAAACACAGACAGCAAGTCCAACTTACATTATTTTGCTCCCTGCATGTTTATTGTCCCTTCCCTCCAGCATTTTCCATTTTGCTAATTCAAGTGATTACCTAAATGGCTATTTGATTACTTGAGTGTATTTCATATTCTCTTATTCGTACTGCTTGGAGCCGTTTGAAGTAATGAGTTCTTCTGATTGATTACTGTGAGACTTTTAACAGAAAATGCATGATGTCTTTTATAGTAGTGTAGAGTGAAAGTCCAGGACAATTCTGAAAATGAGTTTGTCTCTGCAGTTGCCTAGGAGAAGTCTTCGAATACAGTGTACTTGACTTTGCTTATGCCAATCTAAATCAGGAATAACTTAGGGTAGCTCTCTAGGAAGAGAAAACTGGAAGAGAAAATACAGTTTTATTTGTAAAGCAGTTGGAATATAAGGAGACAAATCTGGATGCAGCAAATGGAGGCACAGCTCCATTTCAGTAAACATTATGCAGTGACCTTGCATCTGTTTATGCTTGGTCTGACTTGGATTCTGGTAGTGTTGTAAACCACATGCTGTGGCTGTTGTTCAGTGACACCTTACTCCTCCACTAGTCTCATAGTGGCCTATTTGGGGTGTGGGATACCAAACAAGATGGGTAAGAATAGCATCTGCCCTTATATAAGTGCTAACTGCTGCCACTTTTGATTGCGTTTATCTCTATAGACAGTGTCCCTGGGCCGTGTGCATCTGCTATCTTGGCAGTTTCCTTTAGACGCATCCTGGCTCATCTCGTGTGACGCAGTGTGGTAGCTTGGGGTCAGCTCAGCATTGTTGGGTAGGACAGACCCCAGGTTTTCAAGCAGCATCCCAGGGAACTGCCCCTCTGGCTGGCATCCAAGGATGCTGGCACTCTTGGTGTCTCACTCAAGGCAGTGAAACAGAGTATAGCCTTTCCTGACTGATTGGCAACAACGCTATGGCCCTGCTGCCCTCAAAGGGAGGGTTGAGGGTGAGGAGAGGCCACTGATGGCAGCACCATGTAAGCAAAGACACAGGAATCCTGGCCAGAAGAAAGGAAGAGGCAAAAATACAGAGGAAGTCATGGTCAGAGAGCAGCAGAAAAAAGCAGGATGTCAGTTCAGAACTCTGGTAACATAGTTTAGACTCTACAAGTCTATAGGTACAGCTAGCTTGTTGGGCTTGTGTTTTGCACTAGGCTGTCTTTTGTCATCCCTGCTGTAAACATGATTTATACTGTGGTTTGCTCTGGAACAAACCAGCAAAGTCACTTGGTGGGAAAGCCTAGATACCAGCTGGATTATCCCTGCTCAGGAATAATCCATGCTGCTCTACAGCCTGTACACTAGTGCAGATCTGTGCCAGATCTGCTTTGGTCACCTAAACATGGCCTAGCAAACCATACAACCTTCGAGACTTGTTGGGAGAAGCACATGTGTTGGAAGGGCCCATTCAGCTGCGAGGAGAGCTCTTGCACCAGTGTGCTCCCATAAAGTGTAGCGTGAGTGTCAACTCCTCATGAAAAGGCTGTGAGGCTGGAACAGAATAACTGGGAGCTGTTCTGCACACCTTGCAGGAGCTCTCTAAACACAGTATAGATGTAACCCGAGAGACAGTTTTCTGTCAGACAGAAAACAGACCTGAGTGTTTTCTGTAACTGACATATTCAATGGCTGTTTTGGTAAATTTATGCAGTTTAAGAATGAATAAAGAAAGTCTCCAGGAACAGGCAACCCTAGGCAGATCGCTAAACAAGGTCTACTTGATCTTCCACAAGAGTGAGGTAAGAATGACCTTAGGTTTCGCAGTCAACTTCTTGACTGGAGTCTTCTTGACTATGATCTGACCATATACGCTAATCTCTTCCCAATTTTTTCAATTCCACTTTCTGAAGAGAGCTAGGTGGTACTACTCTTGATTCCTGAAAGGGCCTTTGGTGAGCTAATGCAGTAGGCATAGTTTAATGGCCTGGTAAAGAGGTGCAAAAAGACCACCTTACTTCTAAGTGGGTAATGTTAGTTATTGAACATCAGCATCAATAGGATGGACTTAATTTGTACTTGCTCTTTACTGTTTTCTCCCAGCCGTGGGTGTGAGGTCGCATTGAGTAGTGGCAGCGCAGAGAATAGGGAAATAGGTTGCACTCAGAGAGAGTTGCCCAGTCGAGGAAACTTGTGGATATACAGAAGATTCTTGTCTCCTAGTGCAAACGTCCAGCTAACCAAAACAGCAAATCTGATTGACTCATCTGCTCTGACGGTGAGAGGTGTGTGGAGCCAAACACACTTTGTATGTTACTTTTATTTCATCCGTAACTCGTATCAAAGCCTGGAAGACTTGGTAGCATAGTTGCTGGGAGTGGGGTTCTTTGGCTATTTTTTTGTTTGGTTGATGGGTTTTGGTTGGGATGGCTGCAGCCTTTGGGAAAGGATATTCTCATTTGGACTGACGCAGAGAAATTTGCAGGACAGCGGAGGACAGTTTTGGCAGTTATGTGTTTGTTCTGTGTGTAATGGATCTGGAAATAAGTGACCACAGGCTCAAGTTGAAAATGTTACTCATTGGTGAGTAATGGTGCATGAGTTTCATGGTGGATATATTTCCATGTTTGAGAACGGCTCCTTATGGTGGCACTTCTTTAGCCTGTCTAAACAGGTAAGTCAGTAAGGTCTTGCAATTTTCAGCATAAAACTTGAGATGATAGGTGTGAGTTTGGTCAGTTTGATGGGATAATGGACAAGAACTGAGAATGATTTCTGGAAGGGGCAAGGATATTACACTGTGAGTTTTGTAAGGTGTAATTTTTAGTGACGTTAGCAAAAGGTTAGTTTGTGGGATCACTCCTATTCTCATTGATATAAATACCACTTAATTTACAGGAAACAATATTTCTGCTCCTCCCCATAAGGAAAAAACATGATCTAAAGAAGAAACACCTGTATAATAAAAGGAGCGGAATATCAACTTGTTTAAATTTCTTCTTCCTGCTTGTCTTGCTGGTTCTGATACGGATGTATTAATTCACATTAAATTGCAACATCTGGGTCACCATTTTAAAACTTCTTTTTCCTAATGTAACAATCAAACCTACTTCAAAATTTATTTCAGATGATGAAGGATATTCAGTGCGTTTTCTTCTGCCTTATTTCGTATCAGATTTTTCGTTTTCGTCTTATCCCTCAAGTACATTGCCCCTGAATTTAGTAAGAGAAACTAGGCATTTAGCATACTAGTTGTATTTCTTCTGTGCTAGTGCCTTCATTCTTAGGCTACCCTGCTTATGTTAAGTCTCCGCTGGGTTATATGTTCCCTAGGTTGTAACCTGATAGTAACAAAGAAGGAGAAAACTGTGTAGCATGTTACTGACTTTTGCTTGAGATAGTACGAGAAAAAGCAGCATTAAAAAATTGAACTTCTGGGAAATAATAGGCTTTCAGAGGACTAGGGAGAGTTTGACCTGTATGTGATGGGCAGGTTGACTTGCCAAATGATTGATTGTGCAGAACAGAAGGAAGAGGCCATGAACATGCCTGTCCATGTCGAGCACTGCTTTTGAAAGACAATGTATGTTACTCTTATTACAACCTTTGTTGACCTAGAAGTTGGCAGAGCAGGAGAGGTCTATGCTGGCTGAGAGCTGTGCAGCAGTTTTCAAGTAGATTCTTGGTCTAATAGTAACTTTCAAACAAATCTTTTTGTATTTTTTTTTTTCCTAAATTAGGAGTAGAAATATGGACTCCTGTGCATGTGTTTAAAAACAATTCCTTGCTGCTTTTTTGTAAACAACAAAGCTATCTGTGACTTGGTGAGTGAGGGCCAGGATGCAGTATGAGCTACCAGTTCAAGTTGGAGCTACAAGAACAGCCACTTGATTTCCCACCCCCCTACCCCCACCACTTTTAGAGAAGGAAGAGGTACATATTTCCTTTTTCATTCTCAGGTTTGTTGTATTGGGGGTTTCCATGCTTTCAGTGATTTTTAAGGCATGGGTACATCCTCTGAAGATCCATTCTGAATCAAGGCCCTTTTGTAAGGAAACACCAACTTTGGTTTTATTTGTTAGCTTAGTTTCAGAGATAGTTTCACTTTTGGTTTTTGGCTTCCAGATTGTCCTGATTTCTGTAGGCTTTGCTGCAAGCACTTTCCTGTGGGTCTTTCTAGTGTTATCTTCTGCAGCTATACAAGGAGGGGAGGGGTTGGTGCTTTGAGCTGCTTTGAGCTCTGGGGGGTGAGAGAGGATCTGACACAGGATGTGAGTCTTGTATCAGGACATGAAATGACACCTCTTCTGAAGATAATCAGGGAGTCCTTACTAAAACTAAAGCGAGGGTCTATAATGATACATCCTTCCCCCTTAGCCTCCCCTTTCCCATCTTGGGCTGGTTGCCATTTCAGGGACAGGGAGATCCATTAAAGAGACAGAGCAATGCTGCAACACCACTGGTAGCCATGGGGTAGGTGGTTGCTTCTGCAGCCTTCCTGCAAGAGGATCAGGTTGGCAGCACCTGCTGCTTTAACCTCAGTACTTGGAATATCTTCTGAAGCAGTTTTGTCAGCACCTATCCCACTCCTCATCTGCTGAGGCTGTCCTGTCTTCAGTCTCCTTGGGCTTCTTCTTTTATAGAAGAGTGAGCTCGATGGAAGAATCACCTGTTTTTCTCTAGCAGTACTTCCAAATAGAGATACACTCTGCTTGGGACATGCAGATACACCTGCCTTTACTACAGATTGTGAGGGAAAGTCTGAAAATTATGCATGTGATGTGTTCAGGTGTAGTAAATCTGCCTGGGAGGTAGTACAGGAGGTTGCTTCTGTGCTTTGGTAGGCTTGGTGAAATTCCCTATAAATAAATTCTAATTTGAAGGAGTTGTCTATAAGGAAAGAAAAACAGTATAGTTGGTCACTAAAACCTGCCAAGGGTTTGTTTGGTCAGCTGCCGTTTACTTCCCTGGGCCAGCATTGATTACTGTTGACTATTTAGATTTAAAGAGTTATGTTTTCTGAAGTATACATATAATTTTTCTGTAGTAAGATTCTCATGCTTTTGTAGAGAACTGCTGTCTGATTAATTTCATTTTTATGTGCAGTGGAAATAGAAAAGGCTTCATTTTGTAGCTTTTTATTTCTTAAATGTGGTTGCACTGTTAACTCTTCTGCAGGTGTCTTGGGGTAGTCCAACTCTTTATCCATTAACATACTCTACAAAATAACTGTGCAGTGAATTGCAGTCAGCTTGCCTTCTGTGACAAAAATGTGTTTGGCAAAGAGTTGTTCTTCCGTGATAAAGGAGACAGCTGTCATTGCTGGCCTTTTCAGTATTGAGACTGAATAGGGCTGCTATGTAAAAGTGCAGGCCTTAGAAATGCAGTGGTGGAATTGGCAGCTACCTCTAGCAGGAAGTTTTTAAGTCTTCTGTGTGCTAGAATAGCATGAACTAAAATACCTTACTCTATGAACTGTCCACACTGTCCCTATGTCCAGAATATATAGCTTTGTTCTTTATATATTTCCTTCAAATGAGTACTTTCTGTATCCAAAACAATTTTTAAAAAGCTTTCTCCTATTGCTGTTTCAGACTACGCTGGCACACATCATAGCCAACAGCAGCAAAAAGAATGGCACGAGGTTTGTGACACTGTCGGCCACAAGTGCCAAGACAAATGATGTTCGAGATGTCATCAGCCAAGCCCAGAATGAAAAAAGACTCTTCAAGAGAAAAACCATCCTCTTTATTGATGAGATCCATCGTTTCAATAAATCTCAGCAGGTATTGTACTATACCACTTTTTGCAAAGAGCCTTTGTCAGCACTTCTGACAAAGTAAAAATTTCCCACTTTGCCTTAAGATGATAGCTTACTTTGGGCTTTTGATTTTCATGTTCATGTTTTTAGTAGATGAATTAGAGAGAAATATATAAATTAAATTCTGTAACTAATTTCAAATCAATATTTAATTATTGTGATTCAAAGAATTAAATAAAAGGCTGAGCTTTACTTACAATTGACTTACGTGCCAAGCTTTATATGACATTTTTCTGAAATTTTGTTTCTGCAAAGTCATGTTAGTAATGTTTGCTGCACACATCTTCATTGCAGCCTCCACCCTGAGGGTAGCATTCTGCATTACCTTTAAAAAGGTCTGGAATGTGAATGCGCCTAGGGTGGGTGTGTGGTTCAATGTTATTCCCTCTTCACTGCGAGAAAAGAGGAAAATAAGGCATGGCATGGTACTTTGGGATAACATGTTGCTGCAGCCATCACTTGGGTGGTTTTTTTCTTTTTCCTTTCCTAGGTATAAGTTTTCTTTAGTCATACCAGGGAAAGCTTGAATTCTGTACTACAAGTTACAGTTCTTATATTGAACCACACTGCGATCTCCCTATAGTTTTCTGAGCTATCCTATAGAAATATAAGGGGAATTGTAGCCCTAAAGGTTGATTCAAAGAGTATTTAGAAGTAGCCTCACTATTTGTTATATTTGATGAGGCAATTTCATGATATCTTATGTTTGCCAAGCAATAAACCAAAGTCACATAAAGAAACTAAAAATTTGCAGACTTTTGACACGCTTTTCAGCTGGTATGGTCATTCTGAGTGCAAGCAGGAGTTTTAAGGTGAACAGCCCATAACGTGCTGTGTGCATGAAATTAAATCATTTAGATAGCTGAGCAAATGAGCTGCCGTGTCAGTGAGGTTATTTGTCATATCAACACGAAACCCAAAGACTTACAAGACACCAAAAATGTAGCCTACTCACATGGGATGTTTCAGGTTGTCATTGATAGAGATCAGCTTTTTCTGCTTCCCTCCCATCCTCAGGACACTTTCCTTCCTCACGTCGAGTGTGGGACTGTGACCCTGATAGGAGCGACCACAGAAAACCCTTCCTTCCAAGTCAACGCCGCTCTTCTGAGCCGATGCCGGGTGATCGTCCTGGAGAAGCTATCAGTTGAAGCAATGGAGGCGATTCTGATGCGGGCCGTCAGGTCCTTAGGGGTCCAGGTTTTGGGCCAGGGCGACCAGCACAGCAGCTTTGCAAGTGGCAGCAGCAGTGAGAGCTCAGAGTGAGTACTTTATGGGCTGCAGGGTGTTAACGCACACAGCCGGAGGAATTGACTGCCTGCCAGGGGGAGAATGAAGCAGTTGGGGGATGGGAAGAGAAACCCTAGCCACTTCTGATAGTAAAGAAAAGAAATGGCAGCATATGGCAGGGGGTGACAGGAGAGAGAGAATTCAAAGCACTGGCTCTCTCCATCCAAAACATAATCTCACTGTCTGGATTAGGAGAGAGTTTTATACTTGGATCCGTAGCTCCTGACTCACCCTTCCCAGGATATTTCAATCTGTTCTGCTGCTGAGGATTTGCTGTGGAAGCATGTAGCTGGGTCTTTGTCATGTCCTAATGTGTGTTACTTCTTGCTGCTGGTTGTAAAAGCATCACGTTACCATAAGTGGTGGATGGGGCAGATGGGGCATCCCCTTTTAAATTAATTTGGAAGTGCCCAACAAAACTTTGTTGTTTTCTGAAATTTTTTTAAAAATAAGATCATGGAGGATACTACTGTTCATTAGTTGCAGGATAAGTGTTGTGGTACGTTTTATGGTATGCTGTGGGGAGAGAGGGTTGTTGCTGTGAGGTGTTAACACATTGTTTTAAGACAGACTTTGTTTTTTTTCTGCTCCTTGTTGTCCAAGCCAGAGAGTCATGTTAGACATTTGGGAGAGTTTTGGAACAAACAAGGTCCAGATTTGTCCATAAGGGCTTATACCTGCCTTCTGATATAATTAGCTGGCAAATAAGAATCGTGCTTGATACTCCATTACTTCCATGGAAGTTATGACATTTCCTTCATGTTGGTGCTTGTGTGTACTCCTAGTAATATACGGTGTATCGACATGGTGGTAATTGGGCAAGCACTCTGTATGAAATAAATGAGGGAATCCACTTTGTCCTTTAGCTTTATCACAAAAAGTAAACACTAAGAATCGCTAACCTGGACACTGAGGTCAGGGCGGGGAAGGAAAGCTATTCCCTTTTTTATTTTTTAGGGTACCCTGCCTCATGGTTTACTCGTTTGTAGCTTTTACATATTGTAGTAAAGTGAATTTTAGAAGAGAGGGTAGTACTGCATGTCAGCCTTAATGTAATGGCACAGCTGTGTTTGTGGCTACACTCTGACTGGGGTTTGGAGACTTTCCTTTCTGTATGGGATTAAAGTACAAGGCATAGTTTCAGCTGCAGTTGTTTGGGTTTGGGTTTCGCTAGACCCTGTATCTGTAACCTTCCGTTAGCTATGGATGATTTAAGCAGCACGGTGTGGTGCTTCATCAAACTGAAAGAAGTCTGGCAGGCAGACTGTCAGACTAGCACAGTTTCAGAAATCTATCCATGGGGAGAGAGGGCCCCACTCCAATGGCTAACATGAGAGCCAAGCATTTAAAAATAAAAATGGGGTTCAGAATTTAGGAGCATTTGTTGCAGTTGTGTGTTAAGTTTTTCTTGTCTTTCCTGCCACTCTCTGGTTCTGGTCTGTAGTTGATACATGCTGGTAGTGATGAGTTTGGCTTTTTGTAGGCCACCCTGTCCCTTACTGGGGTTCTGGTTTTGGTCTCCTTGTTAATTCCTTCTTCTTCCTTCACTGTCCATACCATTTCTGCTTCTTCATTTCCTCTCTACCTACTGCTCTGCAGGAGCAGCTGTATTTTGTCTTTCACGTCTTAACCTGCCTGCCTCTATGAAGCAGGGCTGTCATTAGATGCAGGCAGGTAACGGTGTTCATGCTGTCCTGAGAAATAAAAGAAAGTCACCAATTACAGTTGTACTGGTTGTTCACTGTGCTCACCTTTGTTCCAGAGATGGAAAAGGAGATGTAAGGCAGCATGTTCCCAAATGTGGGGCATGCCCACTTTGAAAGCACTGCAGAGATTAGCCAGAAATACCGTACAAAAGATGTGTACGTGGAATTTTGGACTTCATTTCCCATGTGAGTCTCCCTTCCCAAACCATGGAAGTGTAGTATGAAGTCCTGCATGTGCTGCTTGGCCTCAGTTTATCAGATGGTCTTGGTATCACATCACTTATCTAGGTTAGCGATCATGTCAGACGAGATTTTGAAGAGGAGGATGATTCTTCGTGGTCTCTCCTATTACCTTGAGGAATAAGGTGAGGGTGAATCTTCCTTAGTCTCTACAGGCATCTTCTGTGCTCAATGAGAATGCTGCCATTGCTGAGTGATTCGGTAGGTTTCATTGTCTCTGCACTCCATGCATATGTGGCAGTTATCAAAAAGAAAGTGTGCTCTACCCAAATCTGTTCCCGTGAATTTTCTTGGTGGCTTTTTCTTATCTTGCTTCCACCGTTGCTGCAGGTTTCTGATAAAGTTAGGTCACTTGGCTTCTCTTTCATCCCACTGTGGCCTTTTCTTGCTCTAAAGCTGAAACAGAACTAACAGGAGGTGTTACCTACTTTGATATCTTTTTCTTTGCTATGTTGTCATGCTCATAAAGCTTCTTTGGCAGTTTTTATATTATTTACTGTATTTCTTTAGGAAATGTGCTTTGTGTTGTATTTTCATCAGTTTTACTGCCATCAAATTGTGCTTCTTAAAGCCTGCAGTAAATTAAGCTGAAAGACGAGGGAATATGAAAGTAAGTAACATACTCATGAAGGATAAAAGTAAGGAGAGAAGTCAATGTTAAAGATGCTTTATGTTGCTGAAACTTTGCCTGTGTTTTTTGCAGTTTATGCTGTCTCAGTAGTAGCACAAACTGTTCCAGGTGTACAGTGATACACTACACTTGTACTGGGTCAGTGATGGAGGAAATAAAATTGTTCTTTTCTTGGCTTTTTGTCATTCAAGTGCTGTACTCGGAGTGATATCGCTAATTGAAGTCAGACAGTAAACTGGGTGGTGGATTAATATATTTGAAGTTAGATAGCACAGAAGGCACACAGCTGAGGGAAATGAAAGGATCCCCAGTTTCCTGTTGGCAAGCCCAGACAGCATGCACTTCAGCTTGTTAGTGGCTGTATTACAAGTACTGACAGGTTTTGAATTCATTGGTTTGTAAATCACAGTGCTGAAGATGGGTTTTCTTTGGGTCTTCGGTGTTCAGTAGCTTCTTGAAAATTATTGCCTGTTTGGAATATCCATCCAGTTTCCTTGCAGGAAATAGAGTTGTTGGGACAAGAGGCGACATTCAAAGACAATGCTGTAAGGCAGGGAGCAATGCATATCGTACTGCAGTATTTCAGATGAAGAATGGTATTTGCCTGTAAAAGTGTTGCAATCTGTCAAGGAGTGAATGTAGTGAAAATAATGGCACTGAGAAAGTAAGAAAGTACTGATTTATATGTGAAAGAAGCAATGGGTACTTTATGTCATCTGCTCAATTATTTTTAAATCTTTCATCATACAGATTCTCCTTGCTTGGACTTCCTTATATTTACTCTCTGATATTGCTTACACCCTCTTGTCATTGGATCAAATGCTGTGGTGGTGTACAGGTTTTATGGGCAGTTCATCATACGTTTCGTGGTGGTTCTTGGCACAAACTGTCTTGACAGTATGGAGATAAGGAGGACTTGGAAGAAGGATTTATTATCCTGCAGTGGTAGTTTTCCATTCCTTAAGCTAGTATATCACCTTCAGCTCAGTGAGTGATGGATCCTGGGGCCTCCCCTTTTGCTTGTTTATGTTTTGGTCTCCAAGTATCATCGGTTACAAGGTACCAACATTGAGCGTTGGCATCCAGTGGGTGTTCAGTGTTAATTTTGGAGAGTGAAAAAAATACGAGATTGCCCATCTGCAAGAGGATCGGGAGCTTGAGAAGAGATCACAAAGTATGGGAGTTATTCTGCCTTGCAGTTCTAGGGTGTGCACAAGTTGGGTAGAGTCAAAGGGTGCAGGGCACTTGAACTTCTGAAGACAGGATTGGGCTTAAAAATGTAAAATCCAGTGAGTGTCTTTTGGAAGCCAAGGTGTTGAAATAATTGTCATCCTGATTTGCAATTAGGTTCCTGCCTAGTGAAGTTAAATCATCAAAAAAATGGAATTTAAGATTTTAATTCCTCAGACAAAAATAACTGAATTCAATTATTCTGAGTATAAAATGTTATTGTTTTGAAATACTGTGTGTGAATGGAGCCGAGATTATGCAACAGGGAAGCATTATGTTATTTCCAATCAGTGATTCTCATCAATATGCTGTGCAAACAGCTTGTCTGTGGAAATTTTCTCCATTTATTCTTTTTCTTTATCAAGTCCTGTATGTCGTGGACTGGATCAGCCTAATACATAATGCATTGTTTGGAGTGCAGTTTCCATTACCGATATGTTGTAACTTGGATTTCACTGTGGAAGCGGACAAGGCCTTTGCTTGTAACCAGATTTTCTGTAATTCCTTGTGCATATTTGTTTCAATTCCTGTAATACTAGTTGCTTGTGTTGAGTCAACGGGGCACTAAGAGCCCTATAGTGAGATTGAAGATACAGGAGTACAACTCAACTTTCTTGCCCAGCTTCTGATTAGCAAATAAATGGCAAAAGTGCTCTGAGGGCTCAGCTTTGTTTGGGACAGACCATTCTTAGCTTCTTGCAAGGTAGTTCTTGCCTTTTAGTGCTCTCAATGCTTCCCCTCTGCTTGCAGTCACTGAGCGCAGTTGTGGGTGTTGGGGTGGGGAGGTATCAAGTGCGTGGTGTTCTTCTCTGCAAACAGCAGGTGAAGAGCTTAGTCCTTGCAGGTGAAAGCTTCTCTTCAGTCTGCCCTGCTGGTATATCCAAAGTGTTCGCTTGGTGTGCAGCATATTTGGTTTTGTTCCCTGTTGATGGAGATATTAGCAGGAGGATGTCTGTTTGTAGTGCCTGCTGGGTTTTTAAAAATAGCTTTTGCTTTCTTTGCTGGCTTCTTTCATTGCATGTAGAAAAATCTGGTGCCCATCTGTAGTGCTGCGGGGTGAACATTGCTCCCTGATCTTCAAGGAATTTGATGCATGAGATACTTGACTGAATAAGTCCCTGTGCTGTAATATTCTTATGTTTCTCCATTCAAACACAAAGATGGTGTTTGAAACACCTTAGAGAAAATGTGGTTATTCTGGAGTGCCACTGTGTGTGCATGTTAATTTTTTTTTCCCCCTGGCTTTATCAAGTACGTGAGAAATAAGGAGATGGAAATAAAAATATGATGAGATGCATATGTGTATATAGATTGATTTTTTCTGACAGGATGTCATTCCTGC